ACAAACCTGGCCCAAGTTCCACTGCTATAACAAAACCAATATTCCAAGTTGTGTTCCAAATTATACAGTGGTCCACCTAGAGCCTTGAACCCCGCCATACAAGATCTGCAGTTATCACCTTTAAGTGCCACTGAATAGTTTGCAAACGTGTGACAGTCAACAAATATGTTCTCTCTCTGAATGTGCTACACTTCCCTAGTGAAAGGTTTACATGAGAATGTTCATAGTAATGCTAAAAACGACCAGCTTCACCTCTTTCTTTGCAGTTTTCCTTTGAAAACCCACTAAAAAGTTATAAAAGGAAAGACAAGAAATTAACTGTTAAAATAAACCCATGTCAAAAACACAGCTAAAAATAGCTGAGAGATTATTTGAGTCTTCAAATTCAGACCTGCTTATTACTTAACGCACTGGATTTGCCTTTACAAGAAAAAGTTTTTAAAATGTACTTCTGAAAACAGGTGGTTATAGCAAGGGTTTCACAAAATTATCTCTGAAATGAAACAAAAAGGCTATATAGTTTCATAAACATGTTCTCCCCCAGCAACATCTCCCAATGACATTTTTACCCATCCAATAACTAACAGGAAAACTGCATGCTGGAGATACCTCACGGAGACCCTGAACAAACAGAGAGCTGATAAAATGACTTCAATACAATAGGCAAGGAATTCTTAGGATGATATCTTTTATTGGACCAACTTTTATTGGGTAGTTGGTATAGAGTTAGACAAGCTCTTAAATACAAGACCCAATGAAGAATGTCCTGTATTCAAAAGCTTGTCTAACACTATCCCAGCTACCCAGTTGGTCCAATAAAAGATATCACCCTAAGAAATCCTTGCCTCATGCATCACTTGTGGACCATCATGGCTACAAACTCACTCTTGCACTTCAGTACAACAGAAATTTTAGAGAAATTTGTCTTTGGTTATATATATCCAAATACAAATAAATGGAAATTTTTCCAGTCACACCTAGTAGGATTTGCGGGCTCTCCAGCATTCCTATTAAATTTCAGGAAAGGAAACAAGCAGTTTGTATTGTAAACTAAGACTATCTGGCTCCTTCTAATTTGATTTTCCTGTATGTGTTACATGGACTGGAGTCATATGTCTATGTAACATCTGATTCTGAATGTACTTAGCTGTGTCAGTCTCAACTAATTTTCTATTGAATTCCTTCTGCCAGAATTAGAAATGCCCTCTTATGTCTATTTTTAAGTGCACACTACTTGGAGATGAAACGCTGAACATTAAACAAGATATAAAGTTTTTGAGTGGAAAAACCTCAAAAAGGACTGATGATTCAGCTAAGGGAAGGAATCTGATGAAATGGAAGGCTTGGAAAACAGAAGGGGAAAAGAAACAATACAAAGTCCATAGTCCTGGAGGAAAGAGATTCTCTGATCTGATGTTTCACTTAATCTTTCACCTAAGAGCAACATGCACTGATGCTTTAAATAAAACTGGATTAATTTATTGTAAAAATTTCATCTATGTTCTTATCAATTATACAGTTGATCCAAATCCTCTGAATTTATTTTTTTTAATTAAAAAAATGGACAACATTCTCCTGAATCATGTTCCTCATTCTTTGACCATTGCTACAAAAACCTGACTACATCCTGTCTAGGTTCAAAACCAATCAGCAACACCTTTAAATACTGTTGATACAGCAGACTGCACTTTGCTTCAGTTCAGACATGAAGGCAACTGATAGTCAAAGAACTCTGTATTCTCCCATTTTAAATCACTACAAGGAAAGACATCCAATATGCTATCCATCTGACTACCTGAAGCAAACTAAAATGCCTAGAGTTTGGTAGATAAATCACTTTTCTTCTGCACTTTCTCAGCTGCCTGCCACTGTGGGATCTATTTGTACTAGAGAGATTAAACTTCTTAAAGATAAAGATGGAAGACAAAACCTGCAGATAGATACAGCAACTTAGATACACCCATTAAGTCTCTTAGCTCAGCTCATTAGTTTGCTGCTGCCATACTCCCTTCATTTCTGTAGTTTCATCTGATAGATGACAGCAAAGTCTTTAGGTTGGTCTGGAGTCAACATGTATTGCTAGACACTAGGCACATCTACACGTGCCATTACTCTGCCCAGAAGCAATTAACTCTGGAGCAATAAGCTGCAGAGTTTATTCATGCATAGCTCACGGAGCTGGGTTGGAGCAGCCCCAGCTGACAAGGAGCCCTGGGGGTCAGCCTGCCAACTCAGGGCTACTCCCCCTGGTTCAATGTGCTAGAGTTTGTGCTATCCAGCAGACAGCCCCCACACTGAAGCACCATCATGCCCCAGCCAGCCCCTCCTGTGTCTACACATGCGCTGCTGAAGAGTTTTTTTACTCTGCAGCAGGACAATACTTGTAAATAATCAGTATTTACAAGCACTATCCTACCGCACAGTAAATTAGTTTACTCCAACCTAATAGAGGCACACATGTAGAGGAATATTAAAAGCTAGACAATAGGATTACTAGTTACTTTTCAACTGTGGTTTTGTTTCCCAGATGCACCACATAGCTATCATGGATTATTAATTATCCTGACCTCTTAAAAGGAGACAGGGTACAACAGAATGTAATAATATCTGGGAAGCTGAGAGGAGTCAAAGGATATCAAGATAGAGCCTGAAAACATTTTGTTACGTTTTTCAATTTCCAAACCAACCTCCACAAAGGCCAAGTTCATACTTTGTATCAGGGCTGTCCAAATTCTAGACAACTGGGCATAGATTACTGTAAAAGCAGCAGCTTATGCAGAGGCTGTACTGAGTCAGGCTGGCCCAAAAGTGCAACTACAAGGGGAAGGGTGGTCAGGGATATTCCCCTTCCTGCAATGTGCTGACATCCCTACTCAGAGATAAACTAAATTTCCCAAACGCCACCCTCCAAGGAACATTGCCTGGGGCCCTGCTCAACTTACTCAGGGTTGTGCCATAAGCATGCACTGATGCCCCTCATTTCCCCTAGCCCAGTGCCGGCGAAGCCACATCATGCCCTCCCCATAGTCTTACTCACGCGACTGCTCCAGATTCCATTCTTATTCAGTATCAAGCACACTGCAGGGCATCAAGCACCCTGCATACTAACAGTCCAATACCTTCCCGCATCCATGTAAGTCAGTAAAACAAACTAAGACTGATTCTCCTATCTGCTAAGGCCAACTTACATGGCTGTCACAGGGTAAGGGGGCCTTCAAGCATATCAACTGTCAAATGAGAATAAGGTCAATGATGTCAATGAGAACAGGATCAGTTTCAAGCAGCCCTGATACTAAAATAAAAATACAGCAAACTCACCTTGGTCTCCCAGGAGAAAGGGGCTGAATGTTCATCTTGCCAAGTTATGTCCTGAAATGAAAGAAAAAATAAAAATAAAATGCAGACATATTATAAGACAATTGTAGAGGTAAAGCTGTATGATTTTACTGACCTTTCCACATCCAAAAATATAATATAAACAGCCACAATATGGGAGGGATGGGTCAGCGGGGGAAGACTTTGAATGAGATGAAGACCAAACCGTTTCACAAGCAATCGCTGCCACTGACAGACTCAAAAATGCTTTTTGAGAACATAAATTATCTGGGGATGGGACTATCATTTATTTTGTCTTTGTACATGGCCTTGTAAAATTAAGCCTTAGCCAGGTCTGGGCCTCAAGAGACACATTTGCTATCAGACTGAAAAATATACCCTATTTCTAACTGTCACCAAGTATTTTCTATGTGAGATACCAACTTCACACACATTAAATTCATATACCTACTTTAATGACCAAACTAAAATAAATATCCTGTGCACCTTAAGGAATAGTTAAAAGGCAATTACATTGTGAAAAATGACACCACCACAACCGCATTGCTAAGTCCCACTGCTTCAGGAACGCCATTTCAACGCTGCAAAAAAAATACATCCCCCTCACCCCGGTCAGTCCTGCAGACTCAATCTGGGTTCTTTCTGGCTCACGTGTCAATATCAGTAATATATATTTTTCTTTTGAAAACTGGTTAATAAGTTGTGGTGTTGTGCATGAAATGACATCCATTTTCCTTTCACAGAGCCATGCTGGATCTACAGCACTAATATTTATTCAATAAAAATAGCAGAGCTCATCAGGGATCGATCCTGGTTTTCTCTGTTTAAATATCACAAATTCTCTGATTAAAAAACCCCAAATCCACAATTAAAATGAAATGCCACTATACACACATGCATATTTAAGTATCAATTGAACACAATTTTTTATCGATATATTTACAATTTTAAAGCAATTTGGAAGCCTACCAGTGCCTCAATCACTATAAAATAAATTCTGAGCACCTATAAATGTTGGTATTTGATTTTAGGTTTTTTAATCATGAAAAATCAGAGCTCCATCTGCCCCCTTCACTTGTCAGGGCATAGGTCCAGGCCCCTCACTCCCCAGCCATAGCCCCCCAGTCCTGCTGGTGCCCCTCACTCCCCAGCCACAGCCCCAGCCACAGCCAATTTTTTTGACCAGAAGTCACATTTTAAGAGAGAAGAGTGCCTGAATTGTAAGCCAACTGCTAAACCCACAGCTCTACAATTTCAGAACTGAATCTATTCTTCCAGCATGGACCCCACTGAAGGTACAGCAAAGCGTTGTGAACTTAGGACCAGAAACTCACACAGTAGTATGCGTTAGACCTATATGTTATACAACGACTGTGGGCCTAGGCCCCCTAGGAAATGCAAGGCCCACCTCAAAGGCCACAAGGAGGCCCCTAGATGTATAACAACTAAGTGCTTGAGACAACAAATAAGAAACTTGAATGGGGTGTAGTGTGTTAGGGCCACATGCCTCTTTATATCCCCAATGCGAGGGCATAAAGGACAGTGGCCATAACTGTCTCTCAGTTTCCTCTCAATCTGAAGCCAATAGTTACTACAGATTTAAAAGAAATGAGAATGGGTGATAGGCT